TCATGTTTCTGCAAGGTGAACTCTAGAGGAAGTGAGGTGAATATAAACCATGGAAAAGTTGGCATGCGTCTATAAAAAACCCTATCTTGGCATGATTGCTATTTATTTTGGCAGTAGGCTTTTATACCTTCTAAAACCAGATTATCCTTGTATGTCTTCTCAATTTGTTTCTATTTATTTAAATCTCAAAATCTAGGCTATAGAAAGGGGAGTGTAGCCAAAATCCATTTCTTTCTCATTAGGTATCATGAGCTGGAAAGGACTCACACAATGTTTCTCTGATCAGTGGTCACACTCCCCACTCTCCAAGTATACCACAAGAATAACATGTTTGAGTATCTTCATTTTTATAGAGGAACCAGTTGGTTATTGAACTGGATACAATTTTGATCAGAACAGCTTTCTGAAAATAAAAACAAAACCCATATTTTTCTAAGATGAACAACTTCTGTATTTAGACAAAGGTATCAACAAAAGGGCGAGTTAAAATTTACTGCAGACTAAACTGTTGTCATCTTGGCTCCTGAAATAAATGGCTCTTTGGCTATTCTGTCCCTTTTCGATACTGGATAAAAGCTTCTAGAGGGAAAAGGCAATGCTTGTACATTCAGAGATCTTACCACTCTAAAGGAAACTGCAACAAACAGCATATACCTTTCAGCTAACATTTTTCTCAGCAAAAAAACAAAGCAAACATCATGTCCCAGTTTAAATGTCTTGCTTGTGTTCCAAATGATAGCATTTGCATAGTTTGACTATTCAAACTTTTAATGGGGAAAGTAAATTGGCAAACACAGTAAATTGCAATTCTCTTTGGATTTCAGCATTTAGTAACAGCAAGTTCTGTCTGTACCTAGATGCAAAGTGGTTATTTAAAGCCATCTCTTGAAGGGAATGCCATGGGAATGGGATTCCACTGAGGTTGAATGGCTTTAAATGAACACTCCTCTCCCATGGCCGTACCACTCGGTCTTGCACTTTTTCCATGGCATTACTTTTGCACTGCGCTGGATTAATGAAGTGAAAACAAAGCACTGTATCATATTTTTAGAGATACTGTGTTGCATATATTAATACCTTGCTTCTGTATACTGACCTCAGGCAGTGGCTAGGATGGCATCTGCAAACTAACTCTTCAAAACATGAGCTGCACACAAAGTCCTGTGACAAGGAAAATAATCTTTCTCTGTGTTTGTTTTCCAGCTAAGAAGCTCTTTCAAACAGGCCTTTGGAAAGAAAAAGTCCTCCAAACCTCCTTCCTCACATTCGGACATAGAAGAGCTGACAGACTCCTCACTTCCTTCCTCACCTAAATTGCCCCACAGCTCAGGAGAATGTGGCACAACATCAATGAAACCATCACAGTCAGCCTCTGCGTAAGTGTCTCTCTTGGCAAATCTTTCTTCCCAAAGGAGATGGTCTATGAAACAGACCTCCTCCAGCATGGCCATTTGCAGTTCAGAAACCACTGCTAACAGCTGTAATCTTTTAATCTTTACCTCCATCCATTTGCCAGGCTTCTTGTGAGCTTCACTCCATTTACACACTACTTCTCCAGCAGCTCTTTGTTGGGCTAGTCTCTCCTCCTTTCAGTCTTTACCCAAAATTACTTGGCTGTACAAACTCCAGATGCATATCCAAAAGCTTATGTTGTGCTTTCCCTGCACCATTAGCAACTTTATCATATTGACTTAGTAAAGGCTGAATACTACACTTTCCTTTTTTTCATTGCATATGAAAAATGTCTTTTTTTTTTTTCAGGTAGCTATGAATTTTTGCAATATACTCATCCCTTTCATTATTACTTGATCTACTTTGTAGATACTAATTTATATACTTTTGAATCTATTTTCCCTCTCTTATCAGCCTGGACTTTTTTTGTGGGATTTTACTCTTATATTTTATTCAAATCACCACCCTTAAGGTTTCAGGACAGAGAACAAGTCATCAGTCAACAGCTGTCCCATTTCTTCATTATTTTTTGAATATCTAATATATTCTTCTTACAGAGTTCTCAGTTCTTATTTATATATTTCTGCTATTTTTTTTTGTTCAGCTAAACTCATAACTCTTTCTAATTTGGGGAAATCAACCTCTTTGAACCAAAAAATTCATACTACTGATGCCAGTCTTACTTTGCTTGACCTGACAAAGAATAATGAGGTCACAACTACTCTTCCTTAAGGCACTCAGGGAATTCTAGTCTTGTGACTGATTACTGAGCTTTATAATAGAATTAGTCTGTGTTAGGTTAGGTGCCTTTTATGATTAAGTTTTTATAGACTCTAATGATTTTTTTATACTGGGCTTAGGATTTCAGCACCAAATATTCCCTCACAACAAACCCCTTCAGAATAGAGGTTTTTCTTTCCTCAGATTGTGTACAGAGTTGAAAGAAATAATTCATCTAGGTCTCTGTAGTTTTGTTGGATTATTTTATAGGGAGCTCATATTTTTACAGTTTCGGGCACATGTGCATTTTGGGAGGAGGATTTCTAAATGTTTAGGACACTTCTGTTTGACTTATTACCAATTTAAAAATCACCTTAAGAGTGAAAAGTAAAAGCCTTACTAGAAAATGCCTGAACTTAAACAAAACAATTTTATTCTGCAAAATTAATTACTCATGATTCACAGATCTGCTCTCATAACCTTATCCTGTCTCCTTTCTGCCAAACCTGCTCTTTTCTCTGTCTCTGGATGTAGTAGTGTTCCCAGAATTTATCAAGGGAAAAACCACACATCTACTCTTTCATCCCAAGCTTCCCATGGTTGTCTTGTCTCTGAGCTTCAACATGCTAAATTCTGTCCAGTTCACAGCCTTCTGGTTCTTCCTCCACAACATTTTTTAACAATATTCTTTCTGATCATATCATTACATTTTTTTATTATTGTGCCCTTTCTACACAGGATCACAGAGAGATTACATACAATTTGTTTAGATTAATTTCTTTGTCCATTATACCGATAATGTCACTTGCTTTGGAAGGCTCAGTTTTCCATTGCACAATTTAAATTCCTGACTCCTTCAAGACTTTTGATGAATTGTCTGTTCAGAGATCATGACACTCCTTCTACCTAAAGCAATGTCTTGATTGCAAAATTCCAACATTGCAACAAAAAGGAAAAAGTAAGTCTTTCTAATTCCTTGGAACCTTCATCTGAAGTCTGATCAGACTTCTGAGTTTCTTTCTGTGACTGCTCAGGAATGCTCACATCTTTTTACTTTCTTCTGATGAAGTCTCATCTTCTTCTGTGTTTGAGAGCTCTGGAATCTGCAAAAGAAAATTCAATTCATAGTTTCTGCTTCCATTCTGTTTACCTTAACGGAGTTGAGACAGCTTTTTCCTGTTTCTTACAGAACCATAGCCCTGCGCTTTGCTTCATTTTTGTATTCCTTAAAGCTCATCAAGGTCTTTTTGTCCATACCTTCAAAACATGTACTTCAAAAAAAGCCAAGAAGAAACTAGCCAACAAATAGATACATGACTTCCCAGTTCTCCAAGTTGTTGTGTAAGATAACATATGTAAATAAAATTTCATTTCTTATTTGGTTTGCGTAGGTAATGGGCACATCAAAGCAACTGTATCATAATATATGAAAAAAATCTTAGGATATGCCCTTATTAATTTTCACTGACATTTAAAATATTTGTGTATGTTGTGAATGATATTCATGATTTTTCTTCTTCAATTTGACATATTTTTTATTTACCATGAACTACTTCATCTTCCCTTTGCTTACAATTTCTTTATATGTTTTCTTGATTGGAGTCTCATGTTCTAAACCATTGCCTTTACTTTCTTCCAACTGCATCTGTCTAATACATGTGTGTGCAGGTCACCTCTAGTCTGGGCATCAAAGAAAAGGCAAAACAGTCACGTGGTCTACAAGCATAGATCCCGGTAAAATTGAGTGTGGGGCATGGAGTTGTATACCCAACTGCTGACCTGAAGAGTGCTGCATCTTCTTTCCCAAAATGCGTTTGCATGCATTCTGGCAATTAAATGTTGACCTTTGTTTATTGTTTTGTATATTAGTGGTAATAATCACCATAATAATACTTACTTTTATAAAATATTTTTCATATTGAAATTGTTCTGCAAAAATTAACTATTTATAGTGACAGTAATAAAGAACAAATAACATTTCATCAATTCACTGGAAATAATCCTTAGTGTAACAATGTAGTCAAAATTCAGTGTTCTGTTTTCTATTGATGGTTCTGATGATGATACAGAAAGATTGATGCAGTCTGACATGAAAACTGGACAGTTGTGGGTCCCTGAGCCAGTTAGGTTTTGATCTTTACTCACAGTATAATGGTTTTTTTCCTTGAAATTAATGTTTGTGAAAAATAACCACATGGTAATTACTTTTAATCCAGTCTTTAAGGAAAAAACACAAAACCAACCCACTTGATTTCAGATACCATACATTACAATATGGCAGATTATAGGAAAAATGTCAGCCATCACAAATCAAAAACATTACAGATCAAAATCTTCTAAACCATGAAGTCAAGAACTGTCCTTTTGTGTACTGTTCCAAACAGAGAAAAGTATTGATGCTAGCAAATAATAAATACCAGCAGTGCAGTTTAATCAGCATACTTCAGTTCTGACTGTTGCTTTGTAGGGGAATCATAAACCTTGCACCAAAGAAATTTTGCAAATATAAAGTCAAATTAAAACCAATGGGTGATACACACTCAAAAAAAGTACCTGAAAAGTAGTTAAGAATTTGTTTTTCACCATAGTGAACTAAACTAGAGAGTTATAAAGCAAGTGATAATTTCATCTGGAGAGGGCTTTTTTTCCCCTTTCTTAATTTGCAGTTTGAGCCTTTTCATGTTTCTTTGATAAATTTCTTTCTCCACTCGTAGGTTTCACCAGCAGCAAGCATTTTTCTGTACTTTGATATTTAGTAATGATGCTGCTTTGGGGGGACAACCTTCCTTTAATCTCCTGCTTGTTTCCTGCTCCTCTTTAGGATCTGTGAGTGCACAGAGGCAGAGGCTGAAATTATTCTTCAGCTAAAAAGTGAGCTGAGGGAGAAGGAGCTAAAATTAACGGACATTCGTCTTGAAGCCCTCAGCTCTGCACACCATCTGGATCAGATTCGGGAAGCCATGAACCGCATGCAGGTCAGTGCAGTAACTCAAGTCATGACAGAGGTGCACACCAAAGGTCTGCCTGGTGTATTTCCCTTCCGAAAAACTGTCGATATCAAGTAAATTGCTTAATTGACCATACATCTGAAGGATGAGTATGATAAGTGTTCACCTTATAATGAAGATTTTATTAGCTTTTATATTATTAGCTAAAATGTGTTTAAGAGATATGGGGGAAGACATAATCCCTGCCCAAAGGATATTCATTATCTAAACGCTCTGACTGCGGAAAGCAACATGACAGATAAGCAGATCAAAAAGTGATTTCCACAGAGCTTTAAATCCTTGGGCCATGGAGGGTTGTATGTGCATACTCTCCCATCATTCCTGATTCCGAAGCCAATCATGGCTTGCTGAAACAAAGAATGTAAAATTGAATTACACTATTCAGCGTCCTAAAATTTTGCTACGTTATTTTGTGACACTGATCCAAATTCTTCCTGAACACATTTATCATCATAAGACTTTCTCTTTCATGAGGCTGAAAGGGTGCTAAAAGGGTGTCAGTGTTCTTCAGTGGAGCACAGAGCTTTATGGGACTTGACTCTCTTGCCTGTATACAAGTGTCTAGTATGATGCTGGGTGCTCAAAAGTGTCTGCAACATCAACACAGTATGACATAGGTCCTTCAGTAGAACTGGACCCTTCTGAAATGTCAGGTGAGATACCTAGGTTGTCCCTGAAGGCATTATAAGTCTATATTTGGGGAACAGAATCAAGGCCATGGGTTAGGGGCTTAAGTTGAGATTAGGACAGCTACATTTAGAAGTCTAGATATGACCTAGGTGATAAAATTCTGTTGTAGTCATTTGAGTTTTAGTCCTATAATAGTGTGGTGTCCTATAATAGCGTGGTGTCCTAAAATCATCCTAAGATAGTTACAGAGGGTGAAATTGAATTGTTTGAGCATAGGCATCTGTTGCTGTTTGAACCAGACTCAAGTATTTGCCTCTGCCCAGGACATGTAGGTTTAGTATTCTACCCATGGAAGATCATGTTTGCACTGTCACTGGAAACCCGCGTTTGCAAAGCTGAATCCAGCTCAGTGGCTTGTCAGCTGAATTGCTCTGTGCTGGGTGCTTAGGTCAGGCACTTCAGGCACTTTTGTATAACAACGGATTTCATAGCTGCAGATTTGATATGCTTGATGTTTTTTCTAGACCTCTTTGTTCATACCATGCCTATAACAGTCTCAGCCATACCTTTAAACATCTGTGGTACCTGCCATCCTCATAGGTACTCACACCACTATGTGCCAACATTGCTGTGGGATATTTGGCTGAACTTCAGTTGGGGGGAAGAATAATCAAGAAGTGTTCCATAAATATGGTTTCAATTGTCCAGACATAAGGAAAACATTTGATCTCAAGCTACTAAAAAGTTTTAGGAACTGTAAGGAATAGAACACAGTTAATTGCAATGGTCAAGAATGTGGAGACTTATCATCTGATTGCAGTCTTATACTGGGAAACAAGTGCCTAAACCAGGTGAACTCCCTAGAGAGAGGAGTCTGCTCTAGTCACAAGCCTCCAAAGTCTGAATTTAATCAAATCTGGGCAGAGGCAATTTGCTGAGATGCTGTTGCTAGTAATCACCACTTCTGATGTTCTCCCAAAAGAACAGGCAGCCACCTTGCAGTTGCCAAACTCTGGGATATTTTTAAGAATTGTCAAAGATTGGTAAGGGGGGAAAATAGGACAGGTGGGAGTGATATACAAATACTTGTATATTCAAAGCACCTTATAAACCTAAAGTTCAGATGAATGGAAGTCTGCTAAGAGCTGTGTAATTAATCAAGTTAAATTGCAGAGTGGCTGGAGACTGCATGACTCATTTCACCATAGCTCCTGATTTGAACTCCAGGCTAAACTGGTGCACTCATCTATTTCCTTCTGTCACTATTTTGATGGTTTGTCCCTTCTCTTCCACTGTCTTCTCACCTTTGCCTCTGTGATCTGATCTAATCTTTTTTGTAGCTGTCTCATGGGGTTTTGTGATGCTACCCCTTGTGTTTTCACTTGTGTAATGTAGCTGTATAGACTTCATTAAAAAAATAGGACTTTTAGCAGGGTGTTAGTGAATGTGGAATTAAATTTGATGTGCAAAACCGTCTGCAAGAATAAGCAGTTGCTTTGTACTGTGCTTCATGAAGCAACTGAAAGCTAGATTTAGCTGGTACCAGGCTGTTCTCAGGCTAAGTTTTCATTTTATTATTGTACATTCAATAATCACTTGGCACCACAGGGGATTTAGCTAAAAAAAAATTCCTAGTTGTTCCGATTCATCTGTCACTGTATGTTTTCATCAGAGAGTTTGCTCACCATTATGTGAACAATGCCATGTTTGACTGATAGCAAGAAGGGTTATGAAACTGTTAAACTATTCAATTTCTAATTGTTCATTTTTAATTTAATTTGTCTGTGAAGCTGCTGCTTAAATTTTACATTCAATGGCAATAGTAATTTTCTGTGACTTTAGAAACATTGACATATCCAGTAACTTTCTTAACTGACCGTTACCTAAGGTATTTGACCATAGAAAGTAGCTTAAAAACCAGAAACTTCTCACTGCACTTACAATATGGTCAACTACACAATAAACACAGAAGCTTGAAGCTTATGTGGTTTAGGAACTGTCTTGAGGCAAAAACTAAAGCAAGGTCATTGGGGGTTTTCCCTTCATTTAAGAAGTGAAGGCAATCCAGTTTTCACCAGCTGTGTTATACCTCTGATATATAGTGCTACATACTGCTGTGAAAGTGGTAAACCAGTTAGCTTCTTCAGGGGAACAGCAAGCACCGGAATATCCACTCCCAGTGGTTTTCCAAAAGATTAACCTACTGTGTTTTTGTGTTGATTTCTTTTGTAAATAGAATGAAATTGAGATACTGAAAGCTGAAAATGATCGTTTAAAGGCAGAGACGGGAAATACTGGGAAGCCTGCCCGACCATCATCAGAGTCATCAAGCAGTACATCATCTTCTTCATCACGACAGTCTCTAGGACTATCTCTGAACAATTTAAATATCACAGAATCCGTTACATCAGGTAAACATATTTTGGTCACATCCATGCCTCAGCAGTTAGTAAGAATTTCTTATTTTCACCCTCTAAATGGGCCACATAGGAGAAGCATGCCTGAAAAGGCAAGCTAATCCAGAGCATCTCTTGTCTAGAGAAGGGCAATGAAACGAGTCTGGAAGGGTCTGGAGTGCAAGTCCTATGAGGAGAGGCTAAATAAGCTGGGGTTGTTTAACCTGGAGAGGAGGAGGCTCAGGGGTGACCTTATCACTCTACTCTCTACAACTACCTGAAAGGAGGCTGTAGCCTAGTGGGTTTCAGCCTTTTCTCCTGGGCAGCTATGATTCTATGAACTAGTGACAGGACAAGAGGACATAGTCTTAAGATGTACCAGGGAAGGCTTAAGTTGGACATCAGGAGGAATTTCTTCAACAGAAAGGGTGATTAGACATTGGAATGGACTACCCAGGGAGGAGGTGGATTCACCATCCCTGGAAGTGTTTAGGGAGAGACTGGACATAGCACGTAGTGCCGTGGTCTAGTTGACATGGTGGTGTTAGGTCATATGTTGGACTCTGATCTCAGAGGTCTTTTCCAACCTAATTGATTCTGTGATTCTATGATCCTGTGAAAATTAGAATGTCTCATATCACTCATATTAACATTGAATATACATTCACTAATGGAAATCAGGAAGAATTTTCATGATCATGTACGAAAAATGTAGCTTTTAGAAGCCTCTGAATAGTAGTAACAGGCTGTTCTCAGTTAGATGAGACCATTTTTCAATGAGGTATAGCTAGTTAGCCTATGTTGGACCAAATCACCATTTATCACAGGAGCCAAACTACACCTGACTTATTAGGCACTCCCATTGTCTTCAGTGAATGAAAGAAAGCAAGCAGAACTTTGGTCCACATCCTAAGCATTAACATTTGACTATTTTCCATGTCACAGAGTTTATGATTATAAGCCTTCTATAGTTGTTTTGATAACCTAGCCGAAAAACAGAAGTGGTGTCTGACATTAGAACCAGGAGTAGAGCAGGAGCAAAGCAGCATTCATTAGCATGGATGCCACAGAAAGTATAACACAGTCTCTGGAAGTAATAAAAATGTGTCTAATAATTGTCGAAAGAGTCTAGGCAAGACTACAGCTGGAAATGTGCCAAAGTGACTGATTATAATTTGGATTGGCAGTTACTTTTATTATCTTGCCAGTCACTGATTACATGGATAGATGAACATTTTTTCTGGTTAATATCAGATTTTGTATGAAAATCAGTATATTTTTAATCTGCATTCCAGCTTTTTGCAAGGTTTAACTTTTAGCCTGGACGAGCCTGAACTGGACCTCAACATACAATGAAGTGTTGCAAAAACAGGGAGAAAAAATTTAAGTGTGACTCCTGCTCACACATCCACACAAATTTAAAAACAAAAAAAAAAATAACCAAACAAAAAACCTCCATCCAAACAACAATAACAAAATAAATTTAAAAAAAAAAAACCAAACAAAAAACCTCCACCCAAACAACAATAACAAAATAAATTAAAAAAAAACACCGAAAAAACCCCACCAGCCTAGAACAGATTTTTTTTCCATATGGTGATTGTAGAATATCTTTCACGTGGAGCAGCCATTAGCACTATGTCACTATGTCACTTGGCACTAACTCTGTCCAGATGCAGGAATAAACATGTAGGAGGAAGAGCAGTAGGAGGAATTTGAAGAAAAGGAGGAACTACTGGATGAGAATATGATGGGTAAAGAGGAATGGAGGAAGAACACAGGAAAGTGAAAGATAAGATAAAGAATGAAGATTAATAAAATCAGGAGGAAGTGTTTAGCACAAGAATAGAAAAATATAAAAGCTGGAAATAAAAAAGAGGAGGGGGAAGAGGAAAAGGAGAAAAGGAGCAGGAGAAGGAACAGGAAGAAGAACAGGATGACTGGGTGAAGTGGTTGGACTAAAGGGTCTTTTCCAACATAAAAGATTCCATGACTCCATAAGCTTTATATAATTTTCTGTGTTATTGGTTCTAAATGTTTTTCTAGCATGCAAAGCAATTAATTTTAGTTATAAGAAATTGAAGAAATAAGGGTGCCTAATGAGGAGTGGAGGATTTCATTTGATTATGAATCCAGAATTTTTGATCATTGTGATTATCATTTTGTTGCTGTGCCAGAGAACTTGGAAGGGTGACAGCTTCCTACCAAGTCTTGTGGGATTTCTGCAGCAGCTGGAGTACTATTGAGCAAAAGTCCCTGTGATATGGAGAGGTTAATCATGCTGGGGACTAAACTGATAAAATTGTGGGTTTGGCTCTTCATATTAGAAAAATGCCATTGCACATTCTGGGATACCAGTACCGCCAAATGACCATGGTCATCTGGAAATAACCAGCTATCCATTGTTATCCCTGGAAAAGCTGGCAGCCCACGGCTGGGACAGGGGCACTCTCTGCTGGGTTAAGAACTGGCTGGATGGTCGGGCCCAGGGAGTCGTGGTGAATGGTGCTGCATCCAGTTGGTGGCCGGTCACTAGTGTTCCCCAGGGGTCAGGTCGGAGGGTTTCAGTGGTGGACAGTAGTGCCTTGTTATCTCGGCAGCTAGAGGGTTTCCGAAGGCATCCTGTGGCTCAGCAAGCTTTGAGGCAATCAACCAAGCCTTTGCCACACCATAAACCATCAAGGCCAGGCAACATCAAAACAAACATTTCTTAAAGGTCCCTTACACCTCCAAATAGGTGTGAGTGGCTAGCTGGGAAAGGGCTTGGTGGTTTCAAACACCCCTATTTCAATCAGTCACTGGAGCAAGAGCAGCAAACAAGGACCAGTACAAGACTGGTCCAGTGTGCCAGAGCTCAGACAAGAAGTGAACTGGAGTTACCACAGTCTGCCTAAGAAGGAGACCTGGCAGGGGTTAATTGAAACAATTAGCAACACCAGGAAATTAGAGCCCCCTGGGCAACTTCTCAGTCACTTGTGTCAGTGAAAGAGAGAGCTCTTACAATGTGGAATTTTTCTCTAGCCATGGAGTGATTCCTCATTCCTAAAGGCTTAGAGAAGAATGTGTTTAAAGGGCTACACAAGGGTCATTTGGAGACTGAAAAATTTCACAGGGGGATCTGTTAAATTCAACAGAAAACCAAAACAAACAAAGAACTAAACAAAAAAACCCAGGCGTTTCTTTATCTGACCAATTTAAAAAAAAAAAGCCAATGAAATCCCAACAGCAGAAGCTGCTTTCTAGATCTGGGTGTAAGACTTATAATATATTCATTAAAATCATATCCATAAGCCTACTTTGGTGTTCCTTTGAACAAGCGACTGAATCTTACTGGCCCCTCATTTAATTTGGATGAAATCTGACCTTGTGCAGACTGTGTCATGAAGTCAATGCTTTTCTTCAATCACCACAATAAGAACGAACAGGATTTAGGGTAGCGAATTACTGTGCTGGCCTTTGAAGAAAATGCAAATCCATAATCTCTCCTAATTTGAGAGCTATCTTAAATGTCTAACAGTAATATCTCTCAGAGAACTTCTAGAGGAAGACAGCAGTTTTATCACTTGCAATAAACTGCAGGCTTAGCCTTTAGTAAAAAATCCGTAGTTTTGTTTTTTTCATTTTAGGAGTTAATGAAGAGGTAGAAACAGAGACACAGGGCCGATGAGAGTTACTCTTTACCTCCAAGACAAATGAAGCCTTTCCTTAGAGGAACGGCTGAATACAAAGTCCCATATTCTGGAGGAGTCCAAAGTGGTTTTCTAATGTATATTGTTTGTAAACCTGTATTGTGAGGGTACAAAAGACTCTATCCTTGCCGTATGTACAGAAAGTAAAGTAATTATGTGGAAAGAGAAATTAAATGCTATTTTACTTAACAGCAAACATATCGATGCAAGGATTTCTTTTTTTCTCTCGTTACATTTCAAAGGGCACAACGAGTGCCCAAACACATAAACTTAATTTAGTTTTAAAACAACATTGTTTTGTGGACATGTGGCAATTTTGAACAAGTTTTAAGAAGGAAAGCAAAGACAAGACTATAGTGCAAGAATTTATTTATTTATGGATTCCTAGTATTGCTTCAAAAATTGACAAATTGTGACTTTTCTCCATCTTCAACAGAAATGGTGACTTAGAAATAAGTATAGATTAGAACAATTGCAAGTTGATGTGATGGCAGCCCTTCTTTTTAACCAAAAATTCCTTTGAACAAATATTGAACTGATGATGTGAACATAACTGATATGGTTTGTTAGATTGATCACTTCCCTTCTTTTAATGTAGATATTTTGTTGGATGATGTCACTGATGGAGCACTCCACAAAGAAGGTCATAGTGTGAAAATTTTGGTCACTATAAACAAGGGCTATAGTCGAGCCAAGGTAAGCGCATTACCCATAGCTCAAGTTTTTTCAGTATTTTAAGCCAGGAACTGAAGGGAAATATCCAAAAGATAGCAGCGCTGTTCTCTGTCATCCATGCTCAGTACAGTTAGGCACTCCCCGCAGACTAATGTCATATGGCTTAGACACTACCAATTCTCAGTTTAATTAGCAGTAGGATGTTCTGGGACTTGCAATCCCCATTTGAAAGTTATTATATATTAGATCTATGCCTTGAACAACTTAGGGTGCAACTATGAATATGCTGCTGAGATAATCAATTTGGAATTGCATTGTCATGTTTCCATATTCAGTGTTACAAAAACTTATAAATACAGTGCAACTTTTATTTATATTCATCTCTTTAAAAAGACAAATGCAGTCAGAGCAAAATAAGATACTGTATTTCATTCTTTATAAATACCATCTATGCTTATTTCTGGCATAGAGATCATTGGCAATGTTGTAACATCACATTCTAAATAATATTCTTTTCCTTCATGTGGAAAATTATGAAACTTTATAGAAAGCTAATCAGCACCAGTTTAGTCCAGTTTCCAAAAATCTCTCTTTGCAGGATCAGAAACCACATGCGTATCTGATAGGATCAATTGGAGTCAGTGGAAAAACAAAATGGGATGTTTTAGATGGTGTAATCAGACGTCTCTTTAAGGTAAGACACTGAAAAATTAGCTCAAGTATTATTGCAGTTTAATTTTTCACTTTAGAACATTTCTATATTCTTTGGGTTGTCTATCCAAGTTTTTGTTTTGCATCCGTTTTCTTTACATATAGCTAACACCACTATTAAACTTTATTCTTAATGTCGATGTTCTTTTTTTTCATGACTATAGGCAGTTCTCTATTGAATATGACTGCCAGAGTCTTCTTGTCAGCTGACTTCCCCAGTATCAAAATATTTTCCAAACTGCTTTCATTCAGTAAACATTTCTATGTCTTATGTTTCCATATAATTTCAGGAATATATTTTCCGAGTGGATCCAACTACTAGCCTGGGTTTAAGCTCTGACTGCATTGCTAGCTATTGTATAGGGGATGTAATTAGAGCCCATAGCCTAGAAGTGCCTGAACTGCTGCCTTGTGGATATCTGGTTGGAGATAATAACATCATCACTGTGAACCTGAAAGGTAAAACTTCAAGAATATTTTTGCAGACAGCGTTCTTCACTGCAGTTCTCCATCCTTTCATATTTATTCTTCTTACACTTGACCTTTCTTCTTACATTTTGTCTCCAGTTCCAGGACACATTTATCACATACACTCTCTGTACGACATTGTATAATACCTAAAGCAGTGCAGCCTTTTGAGGGAAATATAAGAATATCTCTGTCTTTCCCTGTCTGACTGCTAATTCACAACAAATAGTAGTAAGAAAAGCCAACCCCAAAACAGAGATTATTACGAGAAATATTTATGCCTTATCCAGTTCCGTGGGAAAAAATTCTATACATTTTAAAAGCTCTAGGGGTTTGCTATTGAAGGGGAGAGGGAGGCCTTCAGAAGAACTTTACATACATTGATGTGACAACTGGTAACCCTTGTGGCTGTCACTTTGACCTTTTTTTTTGTCATAGTTGCCTGTAGTGTCTGAAACACATATCTTTGCCTCACTGAGGGTTCTATTCACATTTACTTTGATTTCATCTGTCCTACTCATCTCATCTCACTACTACTATTTAATATTTCATTCTTTGGAAGGATATCAACATTTCCACAGTCCTTGATAGGAATGTATATTACCTTGCTTTGAGCATAGCACTGATGCTATCAGGTGCTGGGCCAAACCTATGCCTGCCTCAGCAAGAATGAAGACAGGCCATTTTTCTTTTATTTTGTTTTCAGGAGTGGAAGAAAACAGTTTGGACAGTTTTGTGTTTGACACATTAATTCCTAAGCCAATTACCCAACGGTACTTTAATTTACTGATGGAGCATCGCAGAATTATTCTGTCAGGACCCAGTGGCACAGGAAAGACCTATTTAGCTAACAGGCTGGCTGAATATATTATAACTAAATCTGGCAGAAAAAAAACTGAGGATGCAATCGCAACTTTTAACGTAGATCACAAGTCAAGCAAGGTAAGTTACAGTCAAAAAGATAATCTATTGCCCAATTTGTAGTGATGATGCAGAGCAGATTCTATTAATTGATGCAGCGTTTTGCTGCTCAATTAACATTTTTTCCTACAAGATTTCAGTCTTCAATCCCAGTCATTTACAGGGACCAAATCTTTCTGTCCTGAACAAATCATGGAAGCACTGTGAAGGAAGTTTTCCCTCTCATGAGGAAACCCACCTGAAGGATAGAGGCAGAGTCAAATTCCTATATAAATTAAATTTTTGGAGTGTCTGTAATTCCTTCATCAGAAAGTTGGATATATAGTAATACTAGTGTAACTTGTTTTTTTTATGATGGTAACATCAGCCTTTGTTAGCAAAGATTTCAAAATGGGGATTTTGAATTGCTGTCTGGGGTTCAGCCTCTTAATCAGCACTGGATAAATACAGCTGTCATGGTTTCTGGTGTTCATCAGTCAGGAAGCTGACCATACTGAGCTTGCCTCATGCATCATGTCACATTCACAGTGATTTACATAGCTCAGATTATCAGGCTTCTAGCATGACTACTGTGCTAGCCACAGATAATATTATTCGCTTGCTGCTCTGTATTGGGTATACTCCTAGCATGGTACCCAGGGAAAAGGAAATGAAAGGATCTGCCCAGAGCTTTCTGATTTCACAGAACATAATGAATGCTACACATAATGTAAGAAGGAAGAACACACAGATCCCAAAGGGGCAAGAGGACCATTCCAGTAAAAAACCCAACTTTTCACTGTGTTTATAGAGAGGATTTGTGATGCCATTTACTTTGACAGGGGATGTGTTTGTTTTATTGTTATACCATATGCATCTATAATGAAAATTGTTCCACAAAAGAGCAGACTTTTGGATTTCTGGTAAACTGCTTGGTCTATTTGTTTTAGAGTTTGGCTGTTGGTTTTTTGGTTTGGTTTGGCTTTTTTTCCCCCTTTTTCTTTGTTTCTATCAAGGTTTATATTGAACTTTTGAGTTTGTAGTACAGAAAGAAAAAGCAGCATTGTGAAATAGCAAGTGTGTTTGAATAATACAGATGGTGCTTTTCAATGGAAGAAACCCATAATGTTCCCCTAGAGACACCTGATCATAAAAGGGCAAAGAAAAATCTATCTTGAAATTAAAAAGGATTTCATGTTCCCATTAACAAAAAAAAGATTCTGATATCCCTGATCCAGAAAGTAAAATGGCAATAGAAATGTTGTCCATAATACTGAGCATTTCCAACCCTAACAAAATTAGATACCTCTAGAGATAGAGTAAATCTTGACTAGCCCAGATCCTCGAGGGCAACAAAATGTTGACAAAAATGTGAAATGTTTTGATTATAGAAAGCTCTTTTACTCCAGCACTAAACAGCATCCAGACAGCTGACAGAAAAAAAAAGAATTTACATAACAAGTTTTACTATGAGGCATGATATAGTATCCCCAAAAGGGCAGGCAGATTTTCAGTGAGAGTGATAAATGAAGATGACTGAAAGAGCAGTTCAATACACCTAAATTGTGTGATAGTTTGGTGGGGGTTTTCTGGTATATAAATATGGCTTTCATAAGAACGAATATTCACAAATTAATGTGAGTATCTCTGTCCCTTGGAAATAACATATTTTATTGCAACATATTTTCCTCTGCAGATATTTTATCAGGAGGTTTCTAAGGAATATATCCACCAATGCAGAATGCTTCAGTCATTTGCCGATGTTTAGTGCCTTTGTCTTTCCTTACATGTGGCTTCAGTGTTGCCCTGTCTAAGCAGCCTATCTTCCTGCATGTGCAGATCCAGCTGAATGATCCACAAAGAAGAAACTCTTTAGCAGTTGTTTTATGTTTCTGAATGGTTTTTCCACTGTAATTACATCTGTGGTCTAATCAGGTTAATCTTTTTGTTTTGGTTTGGGTTTTTTGTTTGTTTGCTTGTTTTTAATTCTGCTGAAGGATCTGCGACAATACCTAGCAAACCTAGCTGAGCAATGCAGTGCTGACAACAATGGTGCTGACCTCCCTGTCGTCATAATTCTTGATAACCTCCACCACATCAGTTCATTAAGTGACATCTTCAATGGTTTCCTCAACTGTAAATATAATAAATGGTAGGTAGTAGCTCTTCTCTCTCCTTTCGCACACCTCTTGCAATTAAAACAGTAGAAGCTCTTTCTTATTTTTCAAAATGTCCCAGTGGAAACCAAGTCTCCCATAGGCTGTCTGCAAAGCCCTTGTGTGCTTCAATAATTGTAACCCTCTTCAGCCAAGTACTTAGTAGTGTGTTTCACTTCATTTACATGACTCTTATGCTTCTCAGTGAGATGTAAATGTATGACAATATTTAAGAATGTACTTAAACACTTGACTGAATTAGGGTCTTATCCTTTGCACCCTAACAGACTACACAAACTCATTAGTACCATGAGGACAGCATATGGTAGAGTAAGAATTGCACTTTGTAATAATGGAATTTGGGATAAACCATACCATGCAGAAGCAGCCAAATACCTAGCAGACTTGCACTTCCCACAGTTTTCCTCTAGCAGTGCAGAAGTAGAAAGTTTGCAGACTGTCCTTTATTCCCAAGCAAGATTAAAAATAATGTTTTCTGGAACTTTTACTGGCCTACAGCATTGGCTATTTCTACTATAAAAGTGCCATCACAGGGACTTCCCTTCATAAAATCATTGCATGCAACGTCTTACTTATGAGATTCACTGGCTTCTGAAATTAAAACTCTAAACCTACTGCAAAGTTAGGAATTACATTAAGAGGGTTGCCTCATTTATTTCTTTATTACAGATGAATGCTAGTAAACTACAAATGTGCAGAGAGGGAAATCATACAAGAATAAACATTTTTACAAGGGCACCTCAGAAATATTTTAAATCTAAGACTACAATACATCCAGAGTCCCTTTTGAAATTGGCCTAGTGCAGATAAGAAGAAAGAATATTCTCTGAATATTTGAATGGATTCTCCCTCAAAAAATCCTCCTGCTCTTCTCTTTTCAGTCCCTATATTATCGGAACCATGAACCAGGGAGTTTCTTCTTCACCAAATCTGGAGCTGCATCACAATTTCAGGTATATTCACTCTGTATTTACTATTGCTGTGTTTGCACAGCTCCCTGCTTCTCAGACCAATTCTTTGACAAATATTCATCTTGTATCTCATCACAGTGAAGTACTTTAGTTTCTGTGTCTCTCCTCTATTGATGGGTCTCTGAATGGTGTTGGGGAACGGTGAAAGTAATAAGATATTGACTGGCACTTCTAG